TGACAAGAGCAAAACTCCGTCTCAAAAAAAAAAAAAAAAAAAAAAAAAAGAAATAAAAAGGAAAAGACAAAATATAGTTTTAAATTGGGGCAATTTGTCTGTAATTTGATCAGGCTAATGTACACTGTAAGCTTGAAATGTAAACTTCTAATTTCAGAATCTAAATTTTTGTTTATTCAGTTTCATTTTAATCATGGAATACATACTAGATGCAGAGTTTGCATAAATTTTTGTAACATATTCATTTATTTGCTTAACTAATTTTAATTTGCCATAAAGCAGGAGCTTTTTGTTTATGTTTATTGTTGTGTCCCCAGTGCCTAGAATTGTGCTTAGAACATAGTAGCATAGAGAAACTTTTGTTGAATGAATGAATGAATGATAGAATAATGGATGAACCACGGAATATGAATTCTAGTGGAGGTGACAGATAATATGTATAAAAATCAATACATAATGTAATTTCAGATAGCCTTAAAGACAGCAAACCAGATTTAGGTGATAGAGAATAACTGGAGAGAATGTTGGGATGGTTTTTAAAATCTTCATAATAACCCTATGAAGTAGTTGTTTTTATCTCCCTTTAGAGAAGAGGAATTTCAGACTTACCTAGGGTCGCAAAGTAGCTGAACCACACAAATCCAGTTTCATTAATTGATTCCTTCATTAAACATTCCTTGAGTGCCTGCTCAACACTGAGCCTGAGTCTGTAAAATCAGAGTAAAACAGTGTTTGCCTTCAGGGAGCTTATAATCTAGCTCTGTGCCATCTAAAATAGCAGTTACTTGTTTCTCATCAGAATTGAGATATGCTGTAATTGAGATATGCTGGAATTTGGAGACTTATTATAAAAAAGTAAAATTTCTGAATAATTTAAAATATTTAAAATGATATTTTGGCATATTAGATAAAATATTAAATTCAACATTTCTTTTTACTGTTTTGAAAGTGGCTTCTAGAAAATTTAAAATGACATGTTTGACTTGCATTGTAGATTCTGATTCAGTAGGTCTGAGCTCAAGATAATGTATTTCTAAAAACTTTCAAGTGATGCTGATGCTGCTGTTCTGAGGACCACACTTTGAGTAGCAAAATTTAGACTAGACAGAAAACACAAGTAATTAGAGGACTAATGTGATGCTTTGTATGACTGGGCAAGCAGAAGGTGCTTAGAGGCTTCATTTTGTTTTGCCTTGTTTTTCACTCTGCAAAACAATCTATGTTCAGTTAAAGCATTTTTGCACAATTTTTATTTCCTCCATAACTACATAAATACAGATTTCTCTGATTCATGGGTTTATTTTTTGCCATTTAATGATTATATACACTAGAGAGCAGTATCTATTCTATATACAGAAGAATAAGGGGCCAGGTGCGGTAGCTCACACCTGTAATCCCAGGACGTTGGGAGGCCGAGGCGGGTGGATGGCCTCAGGTCAGGAGTTTGGGACCAGCCTGGTCAACATGGTGAAACCCCATCTCCACTAAAAATACAAAAATTAGCTGGGTGTGGTGGCAGGCGCCTGTAATCCCAGCTACTCGGGAGGCTGAGGCAGGAGAATCACTTGAACCCGGAAAGCGGAGGTTGCAGTGAGTGAGATCGCGCCATTGCACTCTGGCCTGGGCGACAAAAGCAAAAATTTGTCTCAAAAAAAAAAAAAAAAAAAAAAAGAAGAAGAAGAAGGAATGGAATGTAACATCATTATAAAGAAGACATAAAGAAGTATTACATATTATTTACTATAATGAGAAAATATCCAAAATAGGTCACTGAAGTAGAGTCTCCCAATTGTGAACAATAGTTTTTATTATAAGTCAAAACAGGAAATATTTTCCAGGGATTGCACAAACAGATTAAACCACAGAAATGACATTATTCCAGATAAATGGTCAATCCCTCTATGGTCTTAGACACTTAGTTTTGGGTAGAGATAGGCCCAAGGAACATAGAAAACTTCCTGAAGGAAGTGATTTCTAAGCTGAGAAACATCGGTAGGCATTAGCCAGGTCTTAAGACCCTTAACACCCATGCTTTAACTCATATTTTGGATCAAGTTTTTGTTTTATGTCATTTTAGTCTTTGTTTTGTTTTTGTTTAGTTTGCTATAATAATTTATCTGAATGGAGACTAATATCCTTTGAGGATAAACAATTTGAAGTTTATTAATTAGGTATTTGTTTAAGACTCCATCATAATATACCATTTATTAGTTTATAATTCAGATTCTAAACCTATTGTAACTGTGCCTACTAAAAGCAAAGAACCAAGAGGTTCAGGATTTGTGAAAATAAAAGTACTGTAAAATAGAAATGTTTAAATATTTTCTTTTCTTTTCTTTTTTTTTGAGACGGAGTTTCACTCTTAGTTGCCCAGGCTGGAGTGCAATGGCGTGATCTCATCTTACTCAACCTCCATCTCCCAGGTTTAAGTGATTCTCCAGCCTCAGCCTCCCGAATTGCTGGGATTACAGGTGCCCGCCACCATACCTGGCTATATTTTTGTGTTTTTAGTAGAGATGGGGTTTCACCATGTTGACCAGGCTGGTCTCGAACTCCTGACCTCAGGTGATCTGCCTGCCTCGGCCTCCCAAAATGCTGGGATTACAGGCATGAGCCCTGCGCCCAGCAAAATGTTTAAATATTTTCACTATTAGATATGTCTAATAAGAACTAAAGGAATATCTTCTTGAAATTGAAAAGGAAATAATATTTTTCTATCCCATAAGGATTGTCGGAAAGGTTTAAAGAGAAAATAATATATGCAAAGCGCTTACTTAGCAAGATGCCTAGCATTAGGAAGGTAGTATAAGAAAGTAATGTTAGTTTTGTTTTTAGTGTCTATTTTGGGTTATCTAGTAGTTTGGACAGGTTATTTTAATAGCAATACTTTATGAAAATTATAAGGTACACATTTTAATTTTTGACAAGGATTCTAATAATTTCAATAATTTAAGCACAGTTTACTGGGGTCTCAACAAAGGTCACACATTCAGAAGTGGTATGGCCTTTAGGCTAGGAGTCTAGAGACCTAAGTTTTAATTCCAGCTCTGTTATCCTTTTGTACTTTGGACCAATCATTTCAAAAAAGGATGTTTTACTAGTTGCTCTGTAAGGTGCTTTCTAGTCTGCATCAGTTTTGTTGAGACTGCAATAGCAATGTATCCAAGATCCAAACTAATGATTTGCCATCTGGTTTCATTTAGCAAAGTTAATGTTCGGTCATCAAATACACATTCAACAGGAAGTATTCTTTTATGAAACAGTTCCTACAGTCATTTTTTTTAAACCCTGTATAAAATGAGTTTATTTTGGACTATTAAAAAATTTTGAAACTTTAAACTTTATTATTTTTCAACTAATGCAAAATATTACATTAGAAATATCTGAATAAAAAATGATTCTGGACTGGGCACCGTGGCTCACGCCTTTAATCCCAGAATTTTGGAAGGCCGAGGTGGGCAGATCACCTGAGGTCAGGAGTTTGAGACCAGCCTGGCCAACATGGTGAAACCCCATCTTTACTAAAAATACAAAAATCAGCCGGCTGTGGTGGTGGGTGTCTGTAATCCCAGCTACTCAGGAGGCTGAGACAGGAGAATCGTTTGAACCTGGGAGGTGCAGGTTGCAGTAAGCAGAGATCGTGCCACTGCAGTCCATCCTGGGCAACAAAGAGTGAAACTCCATCTCAAAAAAAAAAAAAAAAAAAAAAAAAAAAAAGATTCTGTTCTTTTCTGTATTTACTGATGTTCTCAAACATCTTACATTTTTAAAAATTTAGGTTACCTTCCTATTGAAACTATTTACAAGTGACAGTGATGACTCCTGTTACTCAAAATTAAATCAAAATGAACATCAAACTGGGATTTATTGGGGCTCAGAAACAAGAAGATATAATTTATTCATTTGAAAATGATAAAGAGGGACTGAAATAGTAGTGAGAAAGCTGCCCTGAGACCAGAGTAACTTTGTTTCTTTGAAGTACCATTTACAGTAATAACCCAAAGGGGTGCCAAGGGGCTGCCACTCTTTGGCTATGCTTTATTGTCCCTTCACACTTTGTCTCCATGTGTCCTTCCCCCTTCCTCCTGTATACATGTATACAGAAGAGGGAAGGACACATGGAGACAAAGTATGCATATACATACAGAAATTCTGGAGCAGCAGCTTACTGATGTATACAACTTACAGAATCTCTCTGAGTTATGCTACTACCACTAGTATGTTGGGCATGTTGGCCCAAACTTCCTTAATCAGGAAACTTTGGATAGGTGTATTGCTAGCGGCCTTCACTTGGGTTTAATCTCAACATTTCTGAGGTGCAAAGTGCACTAGATTGAGAGTTAATAGATCTGAATTTTAATTCCAATTTTGCTCCCAATGATCACTGTGACCTCAGGGACATCACTTCATCCTTCATCATTCATTCAGTTTATCTTACCTATTCATTAAAAACTAATCTGCCTGCCTGCCTCCAGTTGCTTTCTAGTGGTAGTGATGATGAGGTGGTGAGACAATAAATACGTAAGCAAATAGGAGAACTATGAAGGAAGGAAAAGTAAATGATATACTGGGGATAGTGTACTTTTTAAAATAGGGCATCTAGGATTTCTCTAGGTAAGTGAAAAATGAAGAGGTTTAACTGGATGCTAAGGGGTCTTGCACATTAAAAGGCATGTGTTTCCGTCTTTTCAGTACTGTGTTCTAGGAAGGCCTACGAATGCCTCTAACTATAAATGCAAATCTATTTAAATCAAGTGATACATCAATTTTACGTTGCTTGATTTGGAAATAATCCGCAAAAGAAGCAATAGCTAAACATTTTAGTGTTGTTTGGGGAGTAGCTGCTGACAATAAAGACCAAAATAAAGACCAAAACATAACTTTAAAACAAAAAAAACCACACAGCCCAAGACAGATCAGAAACTAGGTGTATGCAGGGCGCCAGGTTATGACACTGTTCTCAGACATCCACATGGCGCAAAAAGAAAACCTCACTAGGCAGCTTCGCACGTGCTCGGCGTAGGGGCTCCTGCGAGGTCCTAGTCCCTCCCTGGGAGCTCAGAGCGGAACGGAGGCTGTAGCCAACTGCTGCTTGAAGGGAACCCTGGCTGAGTCCAGGGAGGAGGAGCCAGAGGCGGGGCGATTGGAAGCAGCCACCTCAGCGGAGCTGCAGGATTTCCGCAGGGCGGGAGCTGGTTATCTCCCGGAAGAAAACGGCTCGTGTCACAGAAGTCTCGTGATTGCTCTGGGAGCTTTGCTTAACCACTTGGAACTACAGAAGAAAGAAGGATCTAGCGAAATATGGCTGCAGAGAGCTCTGCTATGCGTCGGGTCCAGGTGGCAGAACATCCCAGGTTGGGGAGAGGAGACGCCGGGCTTTGGGATCTCGTGGGTTGGCTAGGTCATGTTCGGGTCCACAGCATTTGGCTGCTCCTTTGGGGCGCTGCTTTTGGTCCCGGGGAGCAGGTAGAACCCTTGGGATTCTATAAGGACACGTGGCTGGGCTTGCAAAAAAGATCACATCGCACATACTACCATGGGTTATATGTTTTTTGCTTCATCCATGCTGATTCTTGTTTTCCTTTTCTTGCTGTAATTAGTGCGCTCTTTCTACTGGGCTTCAGCAGAAATGCCCAAATCCACACTGAACTCCTCTCTTTGTCTTACATGCCAGTTGATACTGCTTTTTAAAAGCCTTCTTTCTAAATATTCATTGAAAACAAACACAAAAACCCTCTTGGTCTCTGCATCCTCTTTAAAAAACAAAAAACAAACAAACAAAAAAACCACGAGGATCTCTGAACTGTCACTTAGAGAATTAATTTGATGGCAGTCCCTAGCTACAGAGTAATCGTTTAGTGATGTCTCGGGGAGGATCTTTTCAGTTACAGGTACTTTGTAGAAATACTTTGTTCTGACTAATGGGGCTGAAGTCTCATAAAATGAAGTTTCTCACCTGCTACTTTAGCCAAGAATTTTTCTGACTCTGCCTTTGCTGTTTTTGTTTTTGTTTTTTTTTTTGAGACGGAGTTTCGCTCTTGTTGCACAGGCTGGAGTGCAATGGCGCTATCTTGGCTCACTGCAACCTCCGCCTCCCGGATTCGAGTGATTCAACTGCCTCAGCCTCCCGAGTAGCTGGGATTACAGGCATGCACCAGCACACCCGGCTACTTTTGTATTTTTAGTAGAGACAGGGTTTCTCTATGTTGGTCAGGCTGGTCTCGAGCTCCCGACCTCAGGTGATCCGCCCGCCCCGGTCTCTCAAAGTTTTGGGATTACAGGCATGAGCCATCGTGCCCGGCCTCTACTTTTGCTGTTTTTAGCCTTTTTTATGTTAACTTTTTTCTTTGACATCAAGTCCTTAAGCTCTTCCTACTTGGTTTGTTACCACCATGTGTCAATTGATGATAATATATTTTACTACAACTTGAAAATGTTCTTTGATCCTTAAACCAGCAAACAGGGTGTCTTTAGTTATCAGAAAGAAACATAATTTCTTATAGAGTCCAGCACAGTTTTGGTCTACTTCCCAATGTCTTTGAATGTTTTAATATACTCTAGAGGTTCTTGTGTAGCACTGTTGCCCTTATATATTCGAATGAGTTAAAACAGTGTTAAAGGCATGCTTCCAATAAGATTAATGAGAAATTTGCTACATGAAAATAACCTGATCCCTTGTAGTTTTTTTTTGTTGTTGCTTTTTTTTTTTTTTTTTTTTTTTTTTTTTTTTTTTTTTTTTTTTTTTGAGACAGAGTCTTGCTCTGTTGCCCAGGCTGGAGTACAGTGGCACGGTCTCTGCTCACTGCAACCTCCACCTCCCAGGTTCAAGCCATTCTCCTGCCTCAGTCTCCCAAGTAGCTGGGATTACAGGTGCCGCTACCATACCTGGCTATTTTTTCTGTTTTTGGTAGAGACGGGGTTTCGCCATGTTGGCCAGGCTGGTCTTGAACTCCTGACCTCAGGTGATCTGCCTGTCTTGGCCTCCCAAAGTGCTGGGATTACAGGCATGAGCCACCATGCCCAGCCCGTAGTTTAGTCTTTTACATAAAACACATCCATGTGTAAATTCCTAATGTTTTTCCATTTTATGTGATTTTAATAATAAAGATCAACATTTCTATCTATATTTACTCTGTTTGGGAGAGGATGGTGTAACAATATAGGTACATGTACTCAAAGTGAAGAATTGCTTACTGAATTTCCTTAGTGTTCCTTCTTGTTTTTCATAATTTTCATATTATTCATTCATGCAACAAATATAAATATAAATATTGTTAATATTTATCTATATTATCCACAGAAGAGATCATAATAGGTAAGCTCTGCCATTTTCCTGTTGTTCATTTGTGCACAAAATGCAATTATTAGCTTCATGCAATGTTTTATTTGCAGCAATCTTTTGCAGCCACTTACTCATTTTAGGAGGGATGTATTTTGTTAAATCTAAATAGTATAATCTATAAATTCACCTAACTGGTCAAATATTGCAATATGCTGAGAAGTCAAAAAAAAAAAAAAGAATAAATGGTCAGCCTGCCTCCTTGTGGAACTCTTGTTCTTTTTCAGGATGCCTCTTCAACCTCACAAGGCATGTGATCCCTTGAGTAAAGGCACTGGTCAACCATATTATACGTTTTAGTAAAACTTAATTTCCTTTTTCTTATTTTTATGTAAAAATCAAATAGAAATTGAAGTTCTAATATTTTCTTTCTGTGTCCCACTCTTGTGTGGTACCTGTACTGTAAGACTCTAAATTTCTCTATTCTGGCTTTCTTTGCATTCTTAGCAAGCTGTATCTCTTTACTTTCTCTTTTGGATTAAGTTTCTAAACTTGTTGGATTATTGTTATTTTTGTAGCAGTTTTATTGACATTCACGTATCACATAACTAATTCATTTAAAGTTTGCAATTAAATGAGTTTAGCATAGTCATAGAGCTGTGCAAACATCACCATAATCAAATTTAGAATGTTTTCATCTCAGAAAGAACCCCGCCATCCCTTGTATTATCACACCCCAGAACTCCATTACCTTTCCCCTCACCTGGCCTTAAACAACTACTAATCTATTTTCTGTATTTATAGATTTAGTCACTTTGGACATTTCAAATGAACGGAATCATAGAAAATGTTTGTTTTTTTGGTGACTGACTTCTTCCATGTGGCATAATGTTCTGAAGATTCATGTATCAGTACGTCATTTAACATGTATCAGTACATCATTCCTTTTTATCATCAAATAATATTCTAGTTTGTGGATACTCATTTTGTTTATATATTCAACAATTGATGGACATTTGGGTTGCCTCCACCTTTTGGCTTTTATGAATAATGCTGCTGTATGAACACTTTCTTTGGTCTCTATTCTACCAGTTGAGCTAGCAGGGTGACACTGAACACATTCTTAATATTAAAAATTTGGAGTAATTAAAAGTATATTCAGTAAAGTCTGAAAATCCCAGTTTCTTTCCTGATTGTTTCTGATTTCTACCCTAGACTGCCAATTTCTACTTCCTTTCTTAGAAGTTATCCATTTGGTTTGTATCCTTATAATATCATTATGTCCTTATATCATTGTTACTATATTTTATAAAAATGATATGTTCACATAAGTCCAATAATTATATGATATTTGTTGTTTTTTGCTTATTTTTTTCATTTAATCTTTCTCAGATATCCTGGTATATCAGTTCATACAGATATATTTCATTATTTTTATTTATTTTATTTTATTTTTTGAGATGGAGTCTCGCTCTGTCTGCTGGAGTGCAGTGGCGTGATCTTGGCTCACTGCAACCTCCTCCTCTTGGGTTCAAGAGATTCTTCTGTCTCAGCCTTCCAAGTAGTTGGGATCACAGGCATGTGCCACCATGCCTGGCTAATTTTTGTATTTTTAGTAGAGACAGGATTTCACCATATTGGCCAGGCTGGTCTTGAACTCCTGACCTCAAGTGATCCACCCGCCTTGGCCTCCCTGGGATTACAGGTTGAGCCACTGTGCCCTGGACTATTTCACTGTTTTTAAGGGCTGAGAGTATTTTGTAGTATGAATACTATTATTTATTTAACCACTCAACATTTAGTACACTTAGATTTCTAATTTTTCTCTCTTGTAAACAATGCTGCAACAAACATCCTTGTGTGTGTATATATGTATGCACACACAGAGAGCCTCCAGTGTGGACTGAAGGTGCTCTAACTTTGAGTAGGGAAGAGGAAGTGTGGGTTTTAGACCCCACAGAGTCTGTGTATATGTATATATACACATACATATATACACACACACATATATACACATATATACATACATATATACACATATATACATACATATGTGTACATGTGTATGTATATATGTGTATATATACACATACACACACGAAATATATATGTGTATATATATTCTCTGAGCATTTGTGTGAATTTTTTAAAGCTCGTTCATAAAAATGGAAGCAGAGCCAAAGGTAATAAACATTTAAAATTTTGATAGCTATTGTCAAATGGCCCTGCAAAAAGGATGTTATTGGATTGTCTATTTCTTGTTTTTTTTTGTTTGTTTCTTTTGTTTTTAAGACAGAGTCTCGCTCTGTTGCCCCAAATGGAGTGCAGTGGCATGATCTCGGCTCACCACAACCATTGCTTCCTGCGTTCAAGCAATTCTCCTGCCTCAGCCTCCCAAGTAGCTGGGATATAGGTGTGTGCCACCATGCCTGGCTAATTTTTGTATTTTTAGTAGAGACGGGGTTTTACTATGTTGCCCAGGCTGGTCTTGAGCTTCTGACCTGGTGATCTGCCTGCCTCGGCCTCCCAAAGTGCTGGGATTACAGGTATGAGCCATGGTGCTTGGCCTATTTCTTGTTATTTTTAGAAACTCTTTTTATATGCATGTGTTTTTGTATGTATATGTATTTTCAATAGAAACCATTCTATATATATTATTAATAGAGTTTCTAGTTTGACTTTATGACACCTTTTGTTGTGTAGACATTTTATAATTTATGCAGTGTTGTTTATTGAATAATAATGATGATAGCATTTTGTCTTCACCCTTATTTTAATGTGTCATCCAAATGACCACCATGATGGCGCGAGACAGTAGAAAGGAGAGCTTTATTGGCGATATCAGTTTGTAGACCAGGAAGAGAGAGTCTCCAGTGTGGACTGAAGGTGCTGTAACTTCGAGTAGGGAAGAGAAAGTTTGGGTTTTAGGCTCCACAGAGTCTGTCTTATAAAATAGAATCATACATATTTGGCAGGTTTTGGGGAAAAGCTATACATATTTATGAGGGGAGCCAAGCACATAGGCAGTGGGTAAACATATATGTAACATACATCCCATGTTCACTTTGTGGCAGG